TATGAATGTAATCAGTGTGGTAAAGCCTTTACTCGTTACAGTCATCTTCAAACACATAAAAGGACGCATACTGGAGAGAAACCCTATGAATGTCATCAGTGTGGTAAAGCTTTTACACAGCACAGCCATCTTCAAAAACATAAAAAGATACATACTGGAGAGAAGCCCAATTAATGTAATCAGTGTGGAAAACCCTTTGCTCAGCAGATTTCCCTTGAAATTCATGAAGGAACACATAAAGGACAAAAGCTTATGAATGAAATCAATGTGGCAAATTCTTCACATTTCAAAATACTCTAAAAGTGCATAAAAGAACACATACTACAGAGAAACCATATGAATATTATAAACTCGGTAAAGCCTTTGCTCTGCAGATTCATCTTCACATACATAATAGAACACATAATGGGGAGAGACCTTAAGAATGCAAGAAACATGGAAAGGACTTTGCATGTCAATTATTTCTTTAAGCCCATAAAAGAACATATAGTATAGAAAAACCATTTTAAGGTTATCAATGTAGTAAAGCTTTTGCATGTACCAGGAGTCTTTGACATCATTACAAAAACATCATTCAGCAGGGACTATACATGTAGTCAGGTTGGTTTAATTGTGCACTTTATAAAGGAGTAAAATTTTGTGGTCAAACTGTTAACGCCTTTTTAACTTACAATCAGTTTTGATCACCTGAAAAAGTTAACAAGGGCTTCTCATTTTCAAGTATTTGTGGGATCTTTCACATTCACACTTCTGATCAGTTTAACAACAGTATTTATTCTGTTGAAGAAAATTAACTTTGTCAACAATCGGTGCAAGCATTATTATGTGCATGTTTATATTGTTGCTCCAGCACATAAAAATTAATATATGAACTTATGAAGCCTTATGCTTAGGGTAAAAGTGCCAGCAAAGAAACACTACCTGTCCCAGGAACCAGTTCCAGTGAAAGAAATAGATTATGGCCTTCAAACTGCAGCCAAAGAAACTCACCCTTAAATAAGAGCCAAATGCATTTCAAGGGCCAGTGAAAGAAATACATTTTGGCCCTGAAACCAAAGGCAAAGAAACAAACTCTATCCCTGACCTTCTGAGGAAAAATCCAATCAATACCTATGCTCAAACCACCCAATCCCTAAGCAGCAATCCAGCCAATCTCAAAGGTTTTTAAAGCTCAGGAACTGAAGTTTTATCAATTAACATGCTGAAAAATATTCTCTATGAAAAATCTATGGCCCTAAGAAGACATATATAAAACCTATGCTAGTTCAGTCGGCAGCTGGCATTTTCTACACTGATGGGGCAGCCGCTTTCCTGGATGCCTCTCTTACAAATAAATCTGTTCAATGTGTTTCTGTGAAGGACTTCTTTTGCCACAGTGGATACTGAACTCCCCAGTGGAGAGAAGCAGAGAAGCAACATATACTGCTGATGGGAATATCCCTTAGGGGAGTATAGTTGAGTGAAGAAGAAAAATGACATTTTGAGCTGGAGCTAAGAAGAAATGGTTACCATTGCTCAGAAAATCTTTAGTGGAAAAGACAATAGAACAAGAAATGAACATTTATTCTGGTAAACTCTTAGCAGGGTGCAACAAAGATCACTTGTAGTAGTCTCGCTCTACGTGGAACAGGAGTGATACATAATGCCCAGAGATCATTCCCCACTGGAATACAACTTCATATATAGCCTGATTTCCTGACAGTCAGGACACCTGTATCCTCAGAGCTTTCATTTCCAGGATACCTTCCCTTCACAGCAGCATGTGTAGCCTGACATTCGGCATTCAGGATAGATTTTTCTTCAGACCTCTTAGTATCCAGGATACATTCTCTCCAAAGAGTCAGTAATAACATGACTTCCTAAAAGTAAGGATATCTTTCTCTTCAGAGCTGCAAGTATCCAGGCCATCCTCGCTTCACAGATGAAGGTATATACTGACTTATGACATTAGGGGTATCATTCCCTCCATAGCTGTAACACTTGCACAGTGATTTTAAATGATAATGTGTCTCATAAGTGATTGTTCTCTTCAAGTGCATTGACTAACTAGTGTAAATTAGGTGTGAAACTTACTAATTTTTATTATTTCTCTCCTCTTTTTGTTATAATACCTATGCAACTTTATAAAAGATTTAATTTGGCCCTGGTTTCCAGAGTGATACAGGAGCGTAATTAAAATTTGCATGTCATCTAAAACAGGGTCTAAGAACTCGCATCCCTAAGTTGCAGCATGAGGCAGAGAGTGGGAACTGATGATAGAGGTCACTGCATTGGGGGTTCTATTTTGAAATATTTGAGATGCATACCAAAAAGTCCTATATGTGTGGAAAATTCATTTAGTCAAGTTTATTTTGTTGTCCTGATATTCCTTGTTTGGCTGTTGTTCATTTGGTAGTTTTGTTTAATGATAGGTATTTTTCTGCTGATATGTATATAATGTCACCCCAATCATCTAAGTGGTACATTAAAAAATATGAGGCAGTGTGCGATCATATTTTTCTAATAACTGTCTGAAAGTGTGGTTATTTGTTTTTCCTGGTTATTTTTTCCATATTTTCACAAATACCGTTCAGATTTTCATGTTTATTAGGAGCCTGGCTTGGGTTTCAATAATGATGAGGGATACATTTGAACTCATGAGCGTTATGTGTCTGTCTCCTGAGTACAAATCCAAGTGTAAAAGATATATTCGCAAAATGTTTTTTCTCAACATAATTTAGCAATGTTAATGTTAAAATGCTTCATATATCATAATATAAAAAATATTGAAATGCTCATTTGTGCATTCAAATGGTGTTTTCTTTTATCTGGTAGAGATATTGTTTCTGGAAATCAAATCTTGTCCTTTTGGATGAGCAGTCATTTTTCTAAGTGCTGAGCCTTTTTTCATTCACATGAATGTGTCACTCATTAGGCTGCCCTAATTTGATCTTTATCTCAGCCCTGATACCTCAGAATAAATATATTATATTACATCAGAAACTAACTTAGACTTGGTGCTTCTGGAATTTTCCAAGCCCAAGTCTCCACAAAATGAATGAAGAGTATAAAATAAGTTATCTTCAAAGAAGCTGACAATAAAATCCTTTAAAAGATGGTTGACTAGACAAAAGCACAAGATTGAGTTTGTGTGCCATGTGGTAAATGGACATAAATAGGTTAGCATAAGCTCACATGCCAGATGTACTCATTGCAGGCATAAAGTCTCTCCAGTTTGAATGGGCTCATATTCTACTTCCGGGCTGCTTATAAAACATTCAGTTTGGAGCTCTGAATAGTGATAACTATAGATGACATCAAGATTTTGAGGAGATTCTGAGACTTGAAGTCTTTCTAAGGCATAGCCAATAAGGTATTTACAAAGAATTGGGAAGATTGAAAGAATGTTTAGGGAGGGATGTTAGGGCTTTAAAGCACAAGGATCAAATGCCAGACAGCTTTCTTCATTTGTAACTGAAGTCAAGCAGGCATAAACTGTACTCTGTTTCCACTCAGCTGGAGTGGGTCATCCCCCTCCAGTTCTTCCACTATTTAATATTTGGGAACTCATATAGCTGTCAGTTACAGTACCCTGCAGTCCACATTGTTTCTGTAATGCTCCTCATTCTCCACCGCGGTAATCCTTGGTACCTGCCGGACTCACAGGAATAAGGGTATTCTAAGTTACATTTATATTGCTCCTTTTGACTAATATCTAGTGAAAGAGTAGACACCATGAATTTCTGAATTTCCTGGGAATTTCATTGTAGGAAAAGACTGATTCCAGCAGATGAGAATCTCTCTGCTGCAGCAATATTTATGACTTATCTGACCATCTTGCTGAAGAGATGGGACCTGAGGGTTTGGGGATGCTTTTAGAGATGAGAAAACTTTTAACATCGGCTTAGTTATATTACTTAGCTGTGCAGATCTCTTGCCTTCTATTCAAACCTGTTACCATCCAAGGATGTATTAATTACCTTATGTCTACATCACTGTTCCAAATACTATCAGGCAAGAATCATTTCCCTATATTTTATCTAAAACTGCATGTTCCATCCTGGAGAAAAACCCTATAAATGTAATCAGTGTGGTAAAGCCTTTGCCCACGACAGTCATCTTCAAATGGTCTCATCAGACTGTATTCAAATATTTGTGCATACTTAATTCACATATACTTAGCAGAAATAAGAAGGGAAAATCTGGGAAAAACATGGAAAGTGATGCAATGTAATTCAAATAAAATACGTTACAATAAATATTAAATAAAAATATGGCTAGAGAATGAGCTTAACAATTAAGAACACTGGTATTGTTGCTTTGAAAAGAGGTTATGTTAATAGAAACCATGGTTCCTCTCCATCTCTGGTAACTTCAGTTCCAAGCGAACTTATTCC